GAATGTTTGACCCACCTGGATACCTGGGCCTAGACGAGCTGGCACATAAAATTAACCACCACGGACTCCTAGGGAAAGCAGTGTCTCACCGCACATTTTAAAAGTAATAACTGCAGAACTGAACAAAAACAACGGCAGCAGCTGGCAGGCCTCCAGGTAGAGGCTGCGATGATACAATGATGGAAAACAGGACCGCAGGGCCGCTGCTGTCACCGAGGGCGGGCGCTGTCCAGGGCTGGCAGCCTCAGTGGGAGGCTGCGACGTCCCAGCCCAGCCTGGACCGTCCAGCCGCACCCGTCAGCCTGGACCCACCACCAGGTGGCGACATTGGCCACATTACTGGACTGGCCCATCTCGCCCTCTGGTGGCCAAGGACATCTCCGTGGCTCTTGGGCAGCTGGTGGCCTGGGACCAGAACCAAGTCGAGGGCACTGGCTGTATAAATGGGGAAACGGAGGCCCATCTGTTGGAGGTGACAGTCTGTGGAGGACACCTTCACAGCAGGCCACCAGGTCTCGCCCATCCCTGCCATCAGCTCCTTCCAGGAGAGCGGGCAGGGAGAGGCTGGGGTCCTCAGGCCCCGGGAAACAAAGTGGGGGCCCCTATGCATGGGGGTGTCTGTGCACCGGCAGAATTTTAGGGAAACCCCAGAAATCTGCGTGGAAGAGGGACAAAGCACACTCCCGTGACTGCTGTGGGGGCTCCCGAGCAAGCCAGGGCCTTGGGTGCCAAGGTGCCCGGCCGCCAGCCCCCACCTAGACAGGCCGCGCCACCTGCGGCATGACCTCCAGGGCCCCAGCGAAGGAGTGCGCCGGCCGCCAGGGCCCTCTGCACAGACCCGGAACCCAGGCCTTCGCCGGGCGGCACCAGGGCCACCGGCCTGCAGCTGTGAGCCCCACCCACAGCTGCTGCCTGACACCCGGCCACAGCAGCGCTGGCCCCGGAGCCGGGGAGTGGCCGCACCCTTGCCTCAGGGGGGTTCCCCAAGGACCCCGCTGCCTGGGGTGCCTGGCCTGGCACTGCTGGTGAAGGGTCCTCCTCCCGAGGCCGGGACTCCCCAGGAGCAGTGAGCTCTGAGTACTTCCTGTACAGCTTCCAGTGAGGCTGGCAGGGGCACTCAGGGGCTCCCGTCTGCCCCAGCTCCAGCAGAGAGAGTTAATTCTGGGAGGAGAGAGATGGCATTCAGGAGGCCCAGGGGCGGGGTGATGGCCCAGGGGTGAAGCCATGATTGTGCACAGAGGGAGGTGTGAGGGGCCAGCAATGAAACCTCAGGACCTACATTCTAGGGGACTCTGCTGGCCCAGCAGTGGGGGGAGCCTGGGAAGGCTCTTGAGTAGCAGAGCCCATGTCAGTTTCCTTTAGGAAGAGGGATGGGGTAGAATCCTGGGGGGCTGCCTGGAGGCGGTGTGGGCGGAGGGGCGTGGCCGATGCCTGTGCCTCTGCTGGGGCCCTGGGGAGTCCCTGCTGGGGCCCTGGGGAGCCTAGCCTCCAGCTGGAGGTGGCCAGAAACCAGCCAAGCAAGGGTTAAACCTTCCAGGCTAAGGAAGGAGGAGGAAAGCTGTTCTGATTTGCGTAATGAACGTTAATTAAGAAGACAGAAGAGAGCAGATTCCTCCAGGACAGAGATGAAAGGCCTGTTAATTAAATCTGGGGAGATGAGGCCAGGGCCCCGCTGATCCGGCCTGACAGCTCTGTGCTCACTGGAGCAGGGGGCGCCAGCCAGCATAGGGGGGCCGCCCCCCGCCTGGGCTTCCGGGTCCTGCCCCTGCTGCCTTGTGAGGGCTCTGAGCCCCTGGGGTGCCTCAGTTTCCCCCTCTGGACCGCAGGAGCGTGGGCCCGGTTGCTTGCTGAGCACTCTGCTGCCTGTGTCCTCTTCGCGGGCGGGCATCAGGGCGGGACGTCAGGGCAAGGCCCGCAGGTGCTATGGGAAACCGAGGGAGAGGGAACTTCGGGACCAGCTACTCCAACCCCCGGAACCCTGCTGCCAGGCCCAAGCCTTCTGTGCTTTGGGTCACCCCGAGCCTCTTACCAGCCCCAGCAGCCCGTTGCCCAAGACCACGCTAGCTGGCGGGGCCGACCCCAGTGTGCCTGGGCCAGGCCTGCGCTGTTCTCCATGCTGTTTTCCTCACTCACT